TCCTATGTGAGTGACAGCTGATCCCTCCTATGTCAGAGACAGCTGATCCCTCCTGTGTGACAGCTGATCCTTCCTGTGTGAGTGACAGCTGATCCTTCCTATGTGAGAGACAGCTGATCCCTCCTATGTGAGTGACAGCTGATCCTTCCTGTGTGAGTGGCAGCTGATCCCTCCTATGTGAGTGACAGCTGATCCCTCCTGTGTGAGTGACAGCTGATCCCTCCTATGTGAGTGACAGCTGATCCTTCCTGTGTGAGTGGCAGCTGATCCCTCCATGTGAGAGACAGCTGATCCCTCCTGTGTGACAGCTGATCCCTCCTGTGTGAGTGACAGCTGATCCCTCCTATGTGAGTGACAGCTGATCCTTCCTGTGTGAGTGACAGTTGATCCCTCCTATGTGAGTGACAGCTGATCCTTCCTGTGTGAGTGACACCTGATCCTTCCTGTGTGAGGGACAGCTGATCCTTCCTGTGTGAGTGACAGCTGATCCTTCCTGTGTGAGTGACAGCTGATCCTTCCTGTGTGAGTGACACCTGATCCTTCTACATGGGTGACTGCCTTTCTAGTCTCTGTCTCTGAAAATTATAGCTTTAAAATTCCTCTTGCATTTCTTCATCAAATAGTTTTTGGTTTAGAAGAATGCATTTACTTGGCTAGGATGGAAACCGATGCATTTTCATTTAAAACTATAAGAATAGAGATTGGTGAGGTGCCACCACCTGAAAAACAGATAAATGCGTTTGTGTGATATTTTGAAGCAAAGCAAAGCATTATCTGTTTACACATGCCAATGTCCATGATATTAAGTCATCTTTTAGATTTTTTAATATCTTCATTGGCAGATAATTTGTATACCACAAAGTTCAGTGGTTTTTAATATATGTACAACATTGTATGACTGTCAATGTAATCTCCTATTAGAACATTTTCATCACTCCCAAAGAAATCTTGGACTTAGTAGCCATGACTCCCTCCCCTCCCTTTATTCCTCCTTTCATCCCTAGGCAATGACTAATCTATCTTCTTTATTTGTGTTGGATATTTCTTAATATTCTAAATACTTTCTATAAATGGAAGCATGTAGTATGTAACCTTTGGTCTGGCTTCATCAAAGCTTTCTGGGTACATGTGTGTTGTGATATGTATCAGTCTGTCATTTCCCTATGCGGATGCATGATACTCCATTGTATGGATCTGCCATAGTTTATTTTAGAGCTTATTAGCTCATGGTTTGGATTCTTTCCCACTTTGCTGACTGAATAATTTTGCTTTGAACATTTGTATGTAATTTTGACTATATGTTTTCATTTCTCAAGTGAAATTGTTTCATACTACAGTAACTGTGTTTAGCATTTTGAAGTGCTGTCATTTTGCATTTCATCATGGTAGCTGAGGATTTGGGCATGTCCCCAGTCCCCACATTGATTAGATCTGTCTTTTTTGGTCCCAGCTGTTATGGTACAGTTTCACTGTAAACCAGTGTGGTATTGACCAGCATTTCCTGGTGACCCACGGTGCCAAGAATTCTTCCTTGTCTCACTTGGTTGCTTCCTTATCTTTTTAGTTTGTGTTGTGGATTTATATTTCTTATCAGAAAAAAGACTTGTTAATATTTTTCCCAGCCTATGAATTGACTTGTCTTTCCAAATATTGATAGTATCCTTTGAAACACATATTTTTAACTCTGGTAAAGTTCCATTTATCTTTTTATGCTTACACTATTGTATAAAGAAATCTTTGCTTAATCCAAGGTCATAAAGATTAATGCTGTATTCTCTTTAAGAATTTTGGAGCTGTCCCCCTCCTTCATTTTGCCTGCTCTGGGGAGTATTAAGGTGCTAATGCCATGTGTTCTACCACATAAGCCATGCCCTCAGTTTTTCAGTTTGTTTTTCAAGTAGGGGCTTGTACTTTTGCCCCTTTTTTGAAAACCACTTACCATAAATGTCAGTTTGTTCCTGGACTCTCACTTGTATTCTCAGTTATTGTGCAAGTTTTTATGGGATGACACATTATTGCTTTTAAAACATTTTTTTCCTTTTTATAAGCTATTATAAGGCTGGGCGCAGTGTCTCAGGATTACACCTGTAATCCCAGTTGCTTAGGAAACATATTGCAGTTTGGCCAGCCTGAGCAACTTTAGCTGGACCCATCTCAACAAAAAAGTTGGCATCGTAGAATACACTGTAATCCCAAGAGGCATGGGTAACTATTTTGGTCTGGGGCCAGCCTGGGTAAAAAGTGTGAAGCCCTGTCTGAAAAATAGCTAAAGCAAAAAGGCCTGGGGACATGGCTTAAGTGGTAGAACACTTAACCTGTCAAGTACTAGGCCCTCAGTTCAAACCCCAGGACCACCACCAATACGGCCCTCAGTTCAAGCCTCAGTACCACCATCAAAACAAAAAAAGCACTCATGCCTGTAATCCTAGTTACTCAGGAGACTGAGATCTGAGAATCGCAGTTCAAAGCAAGCTGGAACAGTAAAATCTTTGAGACTCTTACCTCTAAGCTGGAAGTGCAAGTGTAGTTCAAGTAGAAGGGCTCTAGCCTTGAGCATAAAGCCCAAGCCCTGAGTTCAACCTGCAGGACCAGAACAAAACAAAATAAAACAAAACAAACAGTTATTATACTTATCTCAATATGTTAAGAGATCTTATAAACATGTAAATATAGCCTCCATTCAATGATTTATTTATTTGGATCCATTAAAGTTTATTATGCAAATATATATTTTATAAGCACTTAAAGTAGTACTATTTAGTATACTAGTGTACACTTAAATGAGATTTTAAAAATAGGTAGTAGGTTGAAATGCTTTGCAGAATGTAGAGTCTTTTAAAGATCACTTAGGGTAGACTTTTTTTTAATGTTTTTTTATTGTAAAAATAGTTTACAGAGGGGTTACAGTTACATGAGTACATTTCCTATCAAGCATTGTTACCTCCTTTGTTTTTCCCCTACCATCCCTTCTCTTCCCACCTCCCCAACCCCCGTGCCAAGTTGTAAAGTTCATTTTCAACATAGTGTCTTGTACAAGGGTAGATGTTTTTGACATGAGTATGTTCTATTTGTTCTGAATAGCTTATTTAGTTGAAGATATTTTAAGAAACATTTTACTGATGTCATTGAGAAAGACAGCTTTGGTTTTCGAAACTAAAAAAAAAATACTTTTGATGCCTCTAAACAAAGGGAATGATGGTGATATGGTTGCTGCTCTTATAACATAACTCAGCAGTGAACATTTGTACCTCTGAAAAATGAGATAAACAAAGACTACATTGGCCCAGTAGCAACTCTGACCATTTCAACTCCAGTTTAAACTAACACCATAAATAAGCAGAACAGTTTGCCCAGTGTTTCCCTGAAGTATAGCATATGGCAGATCAATGACAAGTGTCATAGAACTGAAAGGTTCTGACCTTCTGCTTCTAAGAAGTAATTTCAGCCACACCAAGGCTAGAGCAAGGACTAGTCAGATGGAGTTGAAATGTGAAGTTGAGGCAGTCTTTCCTTAGCTTTAGGAACACTGATATAGAAGCTGATCTATATGATCCTTGAAATTCCATGCAACTTCGGTAAGCACATGGCTCAGACTCTAGAGCACCAGAACGGGAAGTGGATGAAATAGGTACTCAGGATGCTCATAAGAATAGCTGTGAGATGTTTAAGTTAATGTTTTAGTTATGTTTGCTGTTTATAAACATTTTGAAGTAATTAGAAGGTGAATTTCAAAATAATGCTACAAACTACAGAAATATGGCAGAAAAAACATGAAACTAGTTTGACATGTTTTTAAGGTTCTAGATTCTTTGTTCTACAGAGAAAGCTTATTTAGGCTACAGTTAGGTCTTGTGTAAACTTCTGTTTTAGCTCTTCAAGGTAATATATTAAGAGCTGAATGTGACAGTTGGATTTAAGGACTCAGTGCTTGACACGTGAGCATAAAAAGCTTATTCTAAATT